TGAGCTGAGCGAGTCGGAGTTGGTTAAGGTAATCGTGTGGGAGATGTCTTTGGCAAGTGCGATGTCCAGTATGTCGGGGGTCCTGTGGTCGAAGTCGGTGGGTTCAGCGGGCGCAAAAATTTCGAAGTTAAAGTCTTGCGAGTATTTGAGCAGTTTATGTTCCTCGGCGTTGTTTTTGCGGCAACCCCAAGAGACATGTTTTGAATTGAAATCTTTGGGCGAAGGTGTTGCGGATGAAGATCGGAATGGCTGTTTTTTGGGCTGGTGGTTCTGAGTTGGGGACCGAAGAGTCTTTCGGGGATGGGGTGACAGAAGTTTGGGCGGTTTGTTTTGGGGTTTTTACGGGGGCGTCCACGTGCTGCACCATGTAATGGTGGAGGGCCGCGTTGGAAGTTTTTGGGAAGTTGAGTGCGGTCTTGATCGACAGGGCGGGGAATTCCTCAACTTCCATCTTTTCAGACACTGTCTGAACGGGGGCAGTCTGGGGGGGCTGGGCAGTTTGTGGGGACGTGTGTTTTTGGTACTCCAAAGTGAGTAACCGGGTCAGCTCTTGAATTTGGGCGGCTTGGGCCTTGATGCGGTCGTCCTGTTATGCCAACAACGAACTCGCGAACTAATCCTGGAACTGCACTGACTGAGCAGGGGCTTTCCAGAGCCCTTGGGGACGTGTGCGTGCCCCTGAAGGAGGAACATGCTCGAATTTCTTTTAGTGGAACTATGTAAACACGTGGTTCCGGTGGGGTGGCAAAACACGAAGCAGCGAAGCTTCAACACTGTAGTTGGGACGCGAGGATGATGCACTTTGTTCCAAATTTGCAAACAGACAAGCAGATTAGGAGTGTTGTTCATCGGTCGAGAGATGATGGAGTGGAGTGGAGTGGAGTGGGCTGAATTATCGTGACATGATATTTACCGCAGACATAGCCAATTAAGGCTTTTTGTCTTTAATGGTAGCCTGCAAGAGCCTTGGTGGGTTTAGGGCGGGCTTTTGGTGGTTTCGGGCTGAGAGCGGACGAAGAAGAAAAAAAGTAGGGGTACGGAGCGCGAAAAGTAGTGGTTTGTGGCGGTTGGCCTAGAGAGTTAATTTGGAAGAGTTTGAGAGTTTAGGTACTTTCCAGGAAGTTTGAGATGTCGGGAATCACCTGCTTAAGGCGGGTGATTCCAGGGGGGGTCTGCCATTAAACTTGTCCGGGTTTTGAATCGTTGGTTTGGGATAGTTTGTGTAAACGTGTCTTTAATGAGTGGGTTTGGGTGGTCTAGGACGCGAGTTTTGAAGTTTTCATGTAGCTTTGAGACGAACTGTTGCACGGTTTCGATTTGAAGGTTTGCGTGAATTTGTGAGTTACGGACGTACCAGGGGGGTCTTGTCATCCTGCGG